TGGGGCGTGGTCGGCTGGGCGGGTCGTGCTGGGGGTGGTTGTCGCGTGGTGAGGGTCGTGCTGGGGTGTGGTCGTGCTGGGGTGTGGTCGTGCTGGGGTGTGGTCGTGCTGGGGTGTGGTCGTGCTGGGGTGTGGTCGTGCTGGGGTGGGGTCGTGCTGGGATGGGGTCGTGCTGGGGTGGGGGCGTGCTGGGGTGTGGTCGTGCTGGGGTGTGGTCGTGCTGGGGTGTGGTCGTGCTGGGGTGGGGTCGTGCATTTCGCTCGAGACATCCTGCCAAAATCCCAAGAGATCCTAAAAAAACAAACGAATTAGTCGAGACATCCTCGAAATTCCTGCGCGCGGGACGCGGCACGCGCGAGACATCCTCGGAATTCCTGCGCGCGGGGCGCTTTTCCGCGTCGCGGTCGGCTCAGCGAATCCAGCGTTCCGCTCGAGACATCCTCGGCAAACTCTGCGGAGCAAGCGTTTCGCTCGAGACATCCTCAACACACGAAAAAGTGGCCCGCACCCTGTGATTTATCGATCGGGATTTCAAAAACAAGCGTTTCGCTCGAGACATCCTCAAATTTTAATTCGCCGGCCTCCTTCGACCTCGTTATTTATCAGGGAAAAAATTCGCCGGCAATTCGCCGGCCTCCTTCAAGCAGGCACCGGGGGACAGGTTTACCTACTAAAAGAGAACCCTGGGCTCGAGCCCTTTCCGGGAAAAACTAACCCGAGTTAGCCCTGACCCGAGTTACCCCTGATGATTCGGGGCTCTGATATGCTGGGCATCTCCTATTCACGATGCCAATCTCAGGGATTTCCTTACTTCTTGAGGGCGAATGCCTAAGCTTGCCATCGCCTCTTGGCGCGTCAATCTTTAGGGATAGGGTTACGTTCGAGGCTGGTGACTGGCCCTCGCGCAGGCCTGGCTGGCCGCGGGCGCGGGCGCGGGCACCCGGCGGGCCCGCTCAGGCGGCGGCGTGCGCCCTCAGCCTGCGGGCGCCACCGCGCTTCTGGAGCAGCACGGCCTCGCCCTCCAGCACGTGCAGGGCGGACTTCAGGCCCGCCACCTCCGCGGCGCGGCGGCGCTGCATCTCCTCGTAGGGCTCCACCTTGCCGTCGCACTCGTCGTGCAGGCTCTTCAGCACCGACTGCACTGCCCCCAGCTCCTTCTGCACGCCGGACCGATCGGCCTTGGCCTCGGCCACCGCCTTGTCGAGGTCCAGCGCCTCCTGCGACTTGTACTTGACGTCCTGCGACTTCTGCGTCTTCTCGATGGCGTTCTCATTGCTCTCCGACTCGTACTCTGCCACCGCCTCCTCCTCGGCGGCGACCATCTCGGCGAGGCCCTTCGAGAGGTCGGACTCGATCACCTCCAGGAGCCCCAGGATGCCGGCGCCGGCCCCGTCCGCGGAGGAGTGGGCCTTGCCCTCGGAGGCGTAGTAGTCACCCAGGATCTTCAGCGCCAGCTTCACGCCCTCCAGGCCCTTCTCCATCTCTGGCTTGTTGCCGTCGTACAGCGCCTTCTCCTCCGCGCGGAGCCTGCTCATCTCCTGCTCGGATGCGGCCAGCGCTGCGAGCCCCTTCTGGAGCCCGGCCACCTCCTCTTTCAGCTTCTCCGACCCTGAGGTGGCCTCGTCGATCTTGCTTGTCATCTTGCCGATCTCGTCCTGCTTGTCCTCTTCCTTTTCCTCGTTGTCACCGAGCTGCCTGTCGCAGTACTCCTTATGCTTGACGTCGGCAGCGGCCTCCATCTCCAACGATTTTATCAGGTCTGAGATTAGGCTCTTGACCTTGGCGAAGATGTCGTCGCCCGTCTTCGAGCCGACCCGGATGGCGGAGGTCATTCGCATGGCAAGCTGCGCAAGAGCGGTTGAGTTCTGCTCCGTGGCAAGGCGGCGCACGAACCTGACGACCTGGACCCCCTGGGTCTCAGCGCGCCCTCCAGAGCGCCCTTGGGAGGCAACCTGCAGCAGCGAGTAGGTCTGGTCGGCGGCGCCAGCCGTCGTGTCCTGGAGGACCTTCTTGGCCTCCGCGAGGGCCTTCAGCTCCTCGCTTCGGCTCTTCGTCTCGGCCTCGAAGTCTTCCGCCTTCTCCATGCAGTCGGAGTGCAGTTGCGCCTTCGCCTCCTTGTCCGCCTGCAGGTCCTTGCTCGTTGCCGCGAGGTCGCCTTCGGCCTTGGCCTTGGAGCCAGTCGAGGTAGCGAGGCCTTTCTTGGCCTCCTCCATGTCCTGGCTCGAGAACTTCATCGCGTCATTCAGCGACTGCTCCAAAATTTCAAAGTTATTTTTCGACGTGGTCTCTGCCTTTCGGAGGCCGTCCAGCTGCTTCTCGGCCTTGTCCAACAAGTCCTGCAACGTGTCGATGATACCGCCGCTCTGGCCCTCGTAAACGCTAGCGTCGGGGGCACCATCATCCTCATCATCAGCATCCTCGTTCGCTTGCTGGGCCTGCCGCTGCTGCTGCAGCAGCCCGGTCAGCCTGCTGGCGTCCGTTGAGCTGATGACGGAGGCCTGGACCATGGCCGCCAGGGCCTGGGCGAGGCTGCCCGCGCTCTTCACCTGCACCAGGGACGCGCCACCCGCCTTATCCATCTCCCTCTCAAGGATGGCGATCGCGCGGGAGAGAGCGTCGACAACTTGCATGAGTTCCGCCTCCTCCGCGACGAAGTCTTTGCGCTCATTCTCTCGGACCTTGGTGGCGGCGTCGAGCTCGGCCTGGTCCGAAGCGATGCTGGTCGCGAGCTCCTCGATCTTCGTGCTGAAGGCCTCCATACTGGCGGCGTCCTTCTCGATTCGGGCCTTCAAATCCTGCATCTGGCCCTCCGAGGTCTTGATGCTGTTGGAGAGCTGCCTGGCTCGATCTTCGCACCACTCGGAGAATTCAGCGAAGACCTTGTGAGAGGCCTCGCCCTCTGAGATCACCTTCTGCTGTAGGCCACCAATCATCTCCAGCACCTTGCCGATAGGCGACACGTCTGCGGCTCCCGCAGGCACGCCCGCGGCGAGACACAAGAGGAGGCACGCGGCAAACGTCTTCATTGCGCGAGTAGGCGTGCAAGCAGCGCCACAAGCTCACATCTTGCCAGGACAGCCCAACCACGACCATGATCTGGACCCGGCCCCCCTGCCCGAAACTGTAGAGGAGTTTATTCTGCTGGTATCTGGCAACCTCCGCATCCGCTCCTGTGCCATCCACCCCCGTTCACCGCCACCTGCATGACGCTCTATACTCCTCCAGCCCTCCCCCTCCCCCCATCTATCCTTTAAGTCGGGCGTGTCTCCCTACAGGGGGATTTCGGGCGAAAAATCAAAGATACTCCAAAAATACCCCCCCAATATTCAAAAATTGTAAAAAAAAATCGTCCCCGGACTATGTTTGGACTATCTTTGAACATTCCCCCCGTAGAGGGACACGCCGGACTCACATCTGTCCTCCTCCTCCTGGCCAGTTCCCTCGGACGCCGCCTGCCACCCCTCCGCCCCATCCCCCCCCGCGTGTCCTCCTGGGCCCCCCGGGAGCCCTCCGCCGCTCCCCGAGGCTCCTGGGGCCCTCGGGTCGGGCGAAAGTAGGGGGAAAACGAACCTACCTCGCTTTTGACCACCCTCGCTTCCAAGAGATACCAAACGATGCCAAACTACGGCCTGCACTGGTCAGGCCGCTTGACGAGAAGGCGCGTGGTATGACTTGGTTTTGCCTGGAAGCGAAAGCGTGGTAGGTACTTCACGCTCTGAGAAAGGGGGGGATAGCAAAGGGGGGTTTTGAGGATCAGCTCGCGCAGCTGATTCTCCTGGCGCCTCCCGGCGCCGGGAGGCGGCCATGTCTCGAGGAATGGGCCCCTCGGTGGGGCCGAAGCCAGCTGCATGCAGCAGATTTCGACCCCCCCTATCCCAATCCCCCCCTTTCGTCCGGCCCGACCCTCCACCCGGGGCCTCGGGACCCCGCCGGACCTGCGCAGCTTCTCTGCTGGAACGGGCGGTCCGGGTCCTGGTACAGTCGGGCCGCTGAAAGAGGGAACGCTGGACAGGGGACGGAGCCCCTCCTTGGCCCCGTGAGCGCCTCCGCGCCCCATGGGAGGGCAAGAGGCACCGCACGGGAGGAACCTGAGGAGCACCGAGCCCCTCCCGAACCCAAGCTGTTCCTCATCTCAGCGTCTTGACTGTAGGGGGGATGGTCGAGGGCTCGGGACCCTGCGCTTTCTTCGACCCGGCAGCCATACCAGGATCTGGGCGCCCGCCCGTCTCGCCGGCGACGCTGTGCCCCTGTCGCCGGAGGCAGGGGGGCTCCCCATGCGTCCTCGGGGAGCCCCGCCTCTCGCGCGGGCCTCCCCCTCCCCTGCCCCCTCCACATCCCGCTTGCCTCCCGCTCGCCTGCTCCTTCCACTTCTCCTGCTGCCTCCTGCTCGCCTCCTGCTGCCTCCCTCTCCTTCCGCTTTCCCTCCTACTCGCCTCCTGTTGCCTCCTCCCGCCCGCCTCCTCCTGCCCGCCTTCTCCTGCTCGCCTTCTTCCTCCTCGCCTTCTTCCTCCTCGCCGTGGTTGGAGCTGCCTCGAGGGCGACGGCGGCTCGTTCGCCCGAGCCGAGGCTTCCCGAGGACCCCGCGATGGGCCCTCGGAGAGAGCTGTGGGGCCGCGAGCTGCCCCGTCGGTTTCAGGGGCAGCATCGATCCCTATGCACTACACGTCGGTCGGAAGAAGTGGGTAGAAACATGAAGTAGGAAGGCGGATAAAGTGGATTGGGTCCAGGCCCTCCCAGAGAATAACAAAACACAGCAACAGCAAGCCGATTCTTGAAGTAGGAAGGCGCTTGAAGTAGATTGGGATGTGGGAATCCAAAAATACCTACTTTCAACGACCGGCGTGTATGAGTTGCCCCGCATGGCCCGACAGGCCTTGACCCCTTAGGGTGGCGCCGCGGTCCAGATCGTGGTAGAGGGTGGGCGGTCCTTGCATCATCGCAACCGCAACGTCTTGAGCCAAAACTGGCTACGGCGAGGGTGGGAGAGAGGGGAGGGGGATGGAGAGGGGAGGAGAAGGGTTATATGTGTTTCGTGACCGTCCGTGAGCCATGACCATCTCTGTCAATGGCTCCAGGCCCCCTCCACGCGGATACGCGAGACAAGGACATCCAACATACCTGGAAACCAATTCTCCCCGACGCCAGCACTAACAAACAACTGCACTGCACAAGAGGGCGGCACGGACAAAAACTGCGCTGCACCATTTCTGGAATAAGCCCAGACAAAGGCCAAGACAGCAAGTGCAGAAACAAAAAATACACCAGACTACCAACATTTGACTTTTGCAGGAAATGGTGTCGTTCTCCTGACTTGCCAATGTCCAGGTTGGTCTTTGTCCTGGTCTCAGGAGGGGACGGAATGGCACGGCCCCCGCGATTACCGGAGCACCGCCACGCGGGCCCACGAGCGGACCGCATTTCGCCGGGTCCTTGGTGGACCAGAAAACAAGCGACACACCCCACCTGCGGCCCCACGTGGGTTTTTACGCGGTACACGCTACGGCCCTCGATGAGCCGTAGCGCAACATGGAAAGCCGCAGGTGGGGTGGTGCCGTTTGTTCTGTTAGTCGACTTGGCCCTGCCCCCGTCGCGGCGGCCAAGCGGAGCGGGGGCGTGGACATCCCGTGCGTCAGTGCCACTGCCGCGGCATCCTGCCAGCAGGTGCCGCCCCTGGCTCCAAGCGCCGGCCAGATCGAAAGCACCTGAGCCCACGCTGTGAAGATCCGGGGAGCAGAGGAAGAGGAGGAGGAAGGAGGAGGGGGCGGAGGCAAAGGAGGAGGGAGGCGAAGGAGGAGGAAGGAGGGATGGATGGATGGAGCTGCCCCCGACTGGGCCGGCAGGGAAGGGTCACATGGAGGGGAGGGATGGAGCGGGATAACGAGACGGAGGAGGGAGGAAGTGGACAGAGGATGATACCGCGCCCTCGGCCCCCGCGTCGCCTGTCTTGAGCATGCTCACCTTCGCCGGCTGCAGACTCCTGAACCTGGGCCAGAAGGGAGCATGGGACCATGGGACAGGAAAGAGGGTATGCTCGTCCACCTCCCCTCCTCCAACCCTCTCCTCTTTACAGAAACTTGCCCCTTGTCGCACCACTGGATGTGTCCGTAGGCCCGTTCGGGCGATTCGCTTGAGACTTCCGACTTGCGATCCAAGAGATACCGCACATACGAAGATCGAGGCCACTTCGTTGTCGAAATGTGGTCTTCGCCTTAGCGCCGTGCACACTCGCCATTAAAACATCCGAGAGCTACGCCGATGGAGGGCTGGTGGGTTTCAACGTGCGACTCTCGCCCTAGCACCGCGCATATTCGTCTTAAAGTTTCTACCAGCTACCAAGATGGAGGCCGATCAGTTTTCGTTTTCGAACTGCTGCTCTCGCTTGAGGCTTGCTCATATTCGCCTGACGCTCCAAATCGTGCCGCAGAGACACGCATGCAACACGGACAGAGGGTGGCTCCGTTTCCCACCGGGGCTCTCGCTCCGGAGAGCTCCGCGCAGCTGATGACCGTGACTCCGACCGTGCGCACCGCGTGCACGGATGGAGGCCAGGCCATCCGCAAGCGAGGGCGAGGCTACCGTTAAGTCGGGCCTGTCCCCCTACAGGGGGATTTTGTACGAAAAATAAGAATTAGTCAAACAATGCGCAAATACTCAAACGAATAGTCAAAACATCGTCCCCTGACTATCTTTTACTATGTTTGAATCTTCCCCCTGCAGAGGGGCAGGTCCGACTTAAGGCTACCCCTGGACAGTGTCTCGAACCGGAGCATCCCTGCCCCTCGGCGGTGCCATGCTGGGAGGCCTGGAAATGGGCACCAACACCAATTCGGGGTTTGCCTCCACAGGGGGAAGAGGATCCTAGATTTCGGTGTTGGTGGTAAGATTTCGACCACCTTGAGGCCAGAATCTTACCACCATCACCGAGATCGGGATCTTCTTCCCTCGGTGGAGGCACGCCACCGACATCGGTGTTGGTGTCTGCCTCCAGGCCTGCGATCATGCTGGGAGGACGGAGGGCGGACGCCGCACACACGGGGAGGGGGGGTGCTGCGTGCGGCAGGTCCACTGGGGGCGCTCATCGCTCCATGGGGGGGGGGGGCGGCGGGCGCCCCTCGCAGCGGAGAGGGATGCCTCCTCCTTCCTCCTCTTACTCTACTCCTCATCACTCATCCTCCTCCTCCCTCCCCCTCCCTCCTTCCTCCCCTCCTCCTCCTCCTCATCCCCTCCTCCTCCTCCTCCTCCTCCTCCTCCTCCTCGGCGACCCTCGCAGCTGAGAGGGAGCTCGCCGTGCCTTCTGGGAGGGGAGGGTTCGGGCTAGACGCTGCACTGCAGCGTCGCGGAGCATCCTGGTTCCTTGTCTTTCCCCTCCCCCTCCTCCTCGCTTCCCTCCTCCCCTCTCCCCTCCTCCCCCGTCCCTCCCCCCCCCCCCCCCCCCCCCCCCCCCCCAAACCACCCCCCCACCCGCCCTCATGCTCCTCCTCCTCCTCCTCCTCCTCCTCATCCCTCTCCTCCTGATCTCTCGCCCCTGCCCCCACCTCCTCACAACGTCTCATATCCTCCTCCTGCCCCCTCTTCTCGACCTGCTGCTCATTGCGCCTCCTCCCCCGACCTCCGCCTTCTCTCCTGCTGCCCCTCCCTCTCTCCCTTTCTCCTCGCCCTCTTCCTCCTTCTCTCCTCATCCCTCCGCTTCGCCATTCCCCTCCTCCTCCTCCTCCTCCTCCTCCTCCTCTTCCTCCTCCTCCTCCTCCTCCTCCTCCGCATGTGGGGCGAGGGCAGGAAGGGGAGAGGGACGGAACGAGCAGGGATCGAGGAATCGGAGTCGAGCTCTGGGGGCGCTAGGTTCGTGAGGTGCCTGGGCAGATCCTGGCCAGCCTGCCAGTTGACAGCTTCAGTTTCAAGCCTGTCTTCGCCCCGGGGCCGGGGACCAGGGACGGAGAGGGAGTGCCAGGGAGGGGCGGCGGAGGGGGAGTGCCATGGGGAGGGGAGGCAGGCCGAGCAAGACCGAGAGAGAGAGCTCGAGGGTCAGGGGCCCCCGACAAAAAAGGACTGGGCCACGCGCCCTCGCCAGGGCGAGCTGCGCCCCGGGTCACGGGGAAGGACATCTTACGCCAAGAACGTGGGCCTCGCACCAGGCACTCTCGTGACGAGTAGCCCGGGTCCACAGACGCGAACGTTCCACGAAGAAGAGAAGCTCCAAGACAGCGCCCAGGGTCCAGTCCAGACTCCGGGTTGTCTCAAGCGGAATCTGGAGTCCATGGAATCTGCTGCTTTTCTTGAAACTTCTGATGGGTGTGCCATGCTCTTCCCCCCCCCCCGTGTCCCATCCTGCTCCTCTTCCCAATGTCTTCGCTTAACCCCCAGTCGCCAGTCGCCCACCATCGGTCTTTTCCACCCTGTTGCTCCTCCAATGTGGATCCTACATCCTCGTCCTCCATACCTCGTCCCCCGCTCTCCCCTTCGTCCGTCTCTTTCTCTTTCTGAACCTGTGCCTCCTCCTCCTCCTCCTCCTCCTCCTCATCATCATCATCATCATCATCATCATCATCACCGTCATCATTATCTCCTCAGTCGCATACGGGAGCTTCAGAAACGCTGGTGATGCAAATGCTTGCGATAATGCATCCAGGTTTGTCCTCGGCAACTGCGCGCTAGTCCTCATGGACTTTCTAGCACAGGTGCGATCCGAGCAGTCAGCAGCAGCCCCAGTGCACACCGACTGCCCACAAAAGCAGGATGACCCCTACGCTTAAACAACCTTTGCATGAAAGATAGGGGTCCAAAAGAACACGGATCCCGAATCGATCCACCGTGCTCTGGCTCCCAGGGCCCTTCCCGGGGCCTGTCCCGGGCAGACCGTCGAAAAAGGCTTCAGAGAATCCTGTCGGCTCCCCCAGGCACAAGCTTTTTCATCCTGAGTCGTTTTCCGACGGCCACATGGCCTAGGAGCGGCGCCAAGAGTCTGAAAAATACGAAACACCTCAGGAGCCGTGTTTCCCTCAGGAGGAGCGGTGCAGGCTGGCGCAACGCCGCCACTCCGCGTCGTAGCGGTCTAGTCCCCGAGCGCCGAGGCTCCATGCATGCGCGGAGGCGCCAGCCCAGCTCAGAGTCATGGAACGTGCAGAGAGCTCCCCCCATCCCTCTCGTGAGGCAGAGTCAGAGTGAGGGGGCCGATTGGTCTTGCACTGGCCATGGGTGCGTGGCTGAAGTGGAGAGCCGCTGCTGCGGACTCTTGCTGTCGTGCCGTTGTCGTCATCGCCCCGCGAGCCGCCCGCACCCCGCCTGCCACCCGCGACTGGACCGCGACCCGCCCGCGAGTCCCCCGCGACCCGCCCACACTGCTGTTCAAAAAGCGGCGCCTGCGGCGGTCTGTTTTGCATTGGCCTCAGGGGGCAATGCGCGCTCCCCCAACCCACACCACACCCCTGCGCGACGGGAGCACTACTTTGTGGCGCCCCCCCCGCGCGACGCGCCAGGGGCCCGTGCCCGTCCGGGACCCGTGCGCACACGACAGGTGCCCCCCCCCCTCATTCTTCTCCGCGCTTGTGGGGCTCTACCCCTGCGCCTCGGGATTCGCGAAGCACGATTGTCTCCAGGCCCTTGCGCCGTCCCCTGAAGAAGAAGAAACAACATAAGGAGAATCATAGGAAGAAGCATCCGAGTAATAATGAAGGGGAATTGGGACACACAAGTAAATACACACAAATAAAAGGATTCCCCTCATATTTTCCAATATTTTCTGGGTTGTTGTCTTCCCCCCCACTTCCCATATTTTCCATATTTCCTGGGGGATCGACGACTGATTGTGTCTGTGTGTTTTCCCTCCTGAAGTAAGAAGAGCAACTCTTTGGCCCGGCGCGCGAAGCGCCGATTCCTTAGGGACTCAGTGCCCCTGCGGAGGACTTGCACAACTCCACCGCCACCTCACCGGTGAATGCTGGTGCAGGGGGGCCCAGGCCTCCCGATGCTCAGAGCACGAACCTGGCGGGGATCGCTCCCTCGGCATCGCCGGATGCCGCATCGCCCGGCCTCCAGACCATGCACTGGACGAGCAGGTCCGAGAGGTCGTTCCAGGCCGCCGGGTGGTGGCGCTGCAGCTCCATGCTCCTAGGAGGGGAGCTATGCACATGCACAGGCTCTGGCCAAGCTCGGCCTGAGCCCACAGGATCGGTGCACGAGCCCCTGGCCTTTCCAGGGAGGCATGTGCACCATTCTGGGACCCAGGATGGGCCTAAACAGCCAGGATCGGTGTGCACAATTCTCGCTGCCCGAGATCCAGCCCTCTATCTCGCGCATCAGAGCCTCCACGGCAGCCGCAGCTGCCTCCTGCTGGCTGGGGCCCACCTGGGAATCGGACATCCCACGTCGTGCTTCGTTCCCCCTCCGACGACAGGTTGGGGTCGTCAGGTTACGTAAACCGGACCTCCCGACCCGCCTCGCACACCCTGCATACCTCGGGTCGGGCGAAAAGGGGGGATAGCAAAGGGGGGGTTTGAGAATCAGCTCACGTAGCTGATTTTCCCGGCGCCTCCCGGCGCCGGAGGCGGCTATGTATCGAGGAATAGGCCCCTCGGTGAGGCCGAAACCAGCTGCATGCAACAGATTTCGTAACCCCCCCTTTCCCAATCCCCCCCCTTCGCCCGGCCCGAACCCTGCATACCGCGGCCGCCAGGCCACAATAGTGCCAGAGGTCCCTGGGGATCTCGCCTCGTGCCTTCGATGATTGACGAGTGCACCCACCGTGTGCCTCTGCGTCCCTTGGTAATTACACCGCCTCTCGCGCTCTCGGATGGAAAAATCGCTCGCAGAAGCGTCGTCTGCTTCACTGCGTGATCTCTGGAGCTCTCGGCCCACTCCCGGGCATCGGCACCTCGTCACACCTCGCCCTGCTGACAGCCCCAAAGACCCCGAAAGCGGCCCCAGGAGGCTAGAAGGAGGAGGAGGAGGAGGAGGAGGAGGAGGAGGAGGAGGGAGGAGAGGAGGGAGGAAGTGGGAGGAGGAGGCAGGAGGAGGATGAGGGAGGAGGAGGAGGAGGATGGAGGAGGCGGAGGACGAAGAGGAGGAGGAGGGAGGAGGGGGGAGGAGAGGAGGAAAGGAGGAGGAGGAGGAGGAGGAGGAGGAGGAGAGGCGGAGAAGGAGGATGAGGGAGGAGGGAGGGGAGAGAGGAGGAAGGAGAGGAGGAGGGGGGGAGGGAGGAGGAGGAGGAGGAGGAGGAGAGAAGGATGAGGAGGGAGGGAAGGGATTGAAGGGAGGAGGAGGAGGAGGAGGGGAGGATGAGGAGGAGGAGGCGGGGAGGGGAGGAGGGAGGATGAGGAGGTGAGGAGGGGTAGGAGGAGGAGAGGGAGGGGGAGGAGGGGGAGGAGGAGGTGGAAGGAGGAGAGGAGGGAGGGAGAGGCGGAGGAGGACGAGGAGGAGGAAGGAGTATGAGGAGGAGGAGGAGGAGGGAGGATGAAGGTGAGGAGGAGGGGGAATGGGAGGAGGGATGGGGAGGAGGAGGAGGAGGAGGGAGGATGAAGGGGAAGAGGATGGAGGATGAGAGGAGGAGTTAGAGGAGGGGATATGAGGTGGAAAACTGTCAACACCTCCGTCCCGATGCTCTGGGGGGGGGGGGGGTGGGACGCTCGGGGGGGGGGGACTGGCTCGGGGGGGGACACACCGACCCCTCCCGCCCAACCGCGCGCCGACACATTGGCGATCAGCCCCCGACCGCTTGGCGCATCCGAGCGTTCCCTGGGCGTGGTGGCTATCAATCCCTGGGGATTCTGGGCCCCCCTTCGGGGCCGAATCGGCGTACGGTTCGGAGGTGCTATTATATGAATGGCGTCCCCCCCCCCCTGAGCCTATCCCCTCTCGTCGTTGCCTCCTGGCTTGTGGGCGGTCATAGCTCAGCTCCCTGGCGTCCGTTCGGGCCAGTCCTGTCACCCCCGGAACGCCCACGGCGAGGCGCAACTGCTCGGAAGCATCCCGAGATGGAAATTCACAGGGAACTGACGAAAACGTCCGAGGATAGATGGACGAACCGCTACAGAACCATGACTACATGCGACTTTGATTTCGAGAGGAGGCAGAGGAGGAGGAAGAGGAGGAGGAGGAAGAGGAGGAGGATGAGGATGAGGAGGATGAGGAGGAGGAGGCTCGAACGACGCCACTGGGAGTAGGCGGAGGAAGAAAGGGAATTCGAATGGAATGCCACGGTATGTAATGGCATGGTATGGAATGGACTGGACTGGAATGGAATTGAATCGAATGGAACGGAATGGGTGGAATGCCTAGCAAAACTTGGCGCGCACTAGCTAGAATTACGTGCCTCTCCTGGAGGCTTCACGAACACGGGTACGCTCCACTACAGCAGACACCCTCTGGCCATAGGAGGGGCCTGCCCCTCTGGCCGCAAACAGAACAGACACCGCCGTGGAGTCAGGAGGTCGCGCACGAGCGCTTCTCGACGCGTCAAGAATAATGCTCAACGGGGCGAGGCGGGCAGTAGGGGACAGTCAAATCCAGGAGCGCCTGAATCTTACGATCCAGCGGCTTGCCCTGCCGAGAGCGACTCAACACACTTCCTGATCTTTCCTTGTGGAAGGACTCGCAGGGGCGAGCTAACCTGATTAGTGCACCCTGGAACCATCCCCCCACACCTTAGACACATTAACCCTGCTCCTCCGGGACCATACCACCCACATCCCCAATGAGAGTCAGTTCCCGAACCACACCCAGCGCCGCGACAAGATGAACCTTGGTCTCCTTGGGAAGCCGCCCTACAAACTCGAACTCCTTTACAACCTCGCGAATCAAGCTGGTCCCGATCCTTCTCTCCTGCCTACAAGCACCGATGCCATCGATGTTCCGCGAGCCTGTCCTCCCGACAGTGCCAGTGCCGCGGGCGCCTGGAGTACCTGCCCCCGGGGAGCTCGGGGAAGGCGCTGCCACCTGAGACCGTTCGTAAAGAGCGGAAGCACCGCTGCAACAAACTTGCAGGAATTATTGTTTCTCTCTCTCTCTCTCTGTGCTGCATTTCTCTCTGTGCTGCAAGCCCTGAGTCGGACAAGAGCTGAGGGTCCGCACTCGGGTGATGGGGAAGGGCTTGCTTAGCAGGATGATCCGCTAATGAATATGCAGCAGCATGCTCTCACTCGAGCTGAGGCAGGGCATCCAGTAATTACCTCGTGGCCATCGAGCACGACTTCCTGAATGAGAACTGTGATCTCTGGAGTGTGTGTGTGTGTGTGCAAACATACGGAGTCCTGCAAGCTCCGAGCTGGCTGCCGACTGCTGCTTAATAACACTCTTCTGGGCGACTTTCATCGCAGACGTGCAAGCTGCCCCACGGTCAGCAGGGCGGTCGGCCACTTGGCCGCAGAATGCGATATGATGGGCCTGTTTTCCACCACCACCACCACCACCACCACCACCACCACCACCATAAATAAGAGAGAGCGCGTCCACAGGGCCCGAGCAAAGGGGAGGGGGAGGGGGGGGCTAGCTTAACTACCCCCCCCCCGCTTGAGCAGCCCTTGTTTGGAAGCACCCCCCCTCCCCCCTGCTTTTTTTTGCAAATGTGGGGGGGGGGGAGGGGAGGTGCTTACGCGACCCCCCCCTCCCCCCTTGCCCCTCTGCCCGGAAGCTCCCACCCCTCCCGTCCCCCCCCCTTTCCAAACGGGGGGGGGGGCTTAAGCTACCCCCCCCCTTCCCTTGGCGCCGCCCTGCTGGAAGCTCCCCCCCCCCCCCTTTCGTGCAAAACGGGGGGGTGCTTGGAAGCTACCCACCCACCCACCCCTTTTGGCCGCCCCGGAAGCTATCCCCCCCCCCTACCCCCCTTTCCAAAGGGAGGGGGGTGCTTAAGCTACCCACCCCCCCCTCTCACTGCCGGCGCCCCTGCTGGAACACCCCCCCCCCTTCCCCCTTTGTCAAAAGGGGGGTGGGGGCTGGAACGCCCCCCCCTTCCCCCCTTTGGCCGCCCAGCCCCCGGAGCCTCCGCCCTCCCTTTCGCCGACGATCCAAAATGAACAATCCACGATCGAGGATGGACGATCGACGATCAACGATCGACGATCGAAAATCCCAATCGAATCGCTTGCAATCGATTGCACTCCATTCCACTGCAATCCCCCTCCCCACCTCCCTCCGCTCCCTCCCCTCCCTCCCCACCCTTCGTTCCATCTCCTCCCTCCCCTCCCTCTCCTCCCCTCCCTCCCTTCCGTCCTGTCCCTCCCCTGCAATCCAATCGATTGAATCGATTGCAATTCAACCGATTGCAATCCAATCGATTGCAATCCAATGGATTGCAATCGAATCGTTTGCAATCCAATGGATTGCAATCGATTGCAACGCAAGTGCATCATTCAACTCGTCCCGTGCCAACGCCCGGGAACAAAAAAACTATTATGCTATACTCGTGTCATGGGCAAGTCAGGAATCCACAATATACAATCCTGGAGGAACACAAAATACGATTCTACTCTACTCCTCCCTTTGCGACGCCCTCCCCTCGCTCCTCTTCCTACCCTCCGCACCCTCCGCCGCCTCCATATCCCCTCCATCCCCTCCCTCCCCTCACTCCGCCCCCTCCGCTCCCTCCGCCCTCTCCCCTCCATCCCCCCGCCCCTCCTCTCTGCCCCCATCCCTCCCCTCCCTCCCCTCACTCTCCTCCCTCCCCTCCCTCCCCTCCATCCCTCCCCTCCCTCCTGTCCCTCCCCTGCGTTCCAATCGATTGTAATCAAATCGATTGAAATTCAACCGTCAACCATAAAAACTCAAAAATCAACCAGCAATGAAACACACACCAGACCTACCAAAATTCAACGAACCTCAAACGTCAACGAAAACCTACAATCAACTCAAACGTCTTCAAAAAAACAACAAGAAACATACAAAATTCAAACATCAACGAAACTCAACAATAATACACCGAAAAAACAACACACAAACATCAATTAAAAGGATTCAGACATCGAGCGTCAACAAAATCCACCAAAATCCAGACGTCGACGTGCGTCAACAAAAAAAGGCCATCGAAGGTCGACGCCCTTTGGAAGCTTCTCCGAACGTTCCTCAGACTCGTACTTCCTCCTCATCTCCCGACCTACTCCTTCCCCCCCCCCTCCTCACTCCTCCGCCCCCCTCCGCAATCCCACCAGCCCTTTAGGGCGTGAGTGGTTCAGCTCGCTCATATTCCTTTCTTCCAACCCCCTTCTTCCCCTTCGGGCCCCCCCCCCGCCCCTACCCCCTGCCCTGGACCTGGAGGAAGGATTTCGCAAGGTGTCAGAGCGTCCTTTTTGGCCGAAGATGGCTCCAAGGAGCCTCAGAGCGCCCCGGATGGCTTCTAAGATACCTCAAGATAGCCC